GTTTGCGCGCGGACTCTAGAGCGCGGCCTGGCCGGGGCCATAATTCACCAATTTTGCCTCAATTTGCGCTCCGGCGTGACCCCCGCGCGCGCGGTGGACGGAGGACCTCTATGGGGACCTCCCGTCGGGCGACCGCCGATGAATAATTAATAATAATTCCTATGGCCGCGTCCATCCCTATGGTTGTTTCGCGCACTGCAATGCGTACCCTCAACAGATGTGTCGAAGTGCGTTTCGCGGATATATCTTTAGATATGTGCCTTTTTGCGAAACGTTTTCGTTGCGAGCTTAGCAACGCCGCATCGTAAAGTCAGTCATCCGCTCTTCATCACTGTCGAGTTGAGAAATGACTTCGCCTACTGGGGGCGAGGTAGTGAATATAGTCGGGGGTGGCCAATTCCCAAAAATTACGGCGAAGTCGACCGATGACTTCGAGGTCGGTGTCACTCTTGGGACTGGCTCATTCGGTCGAGTACGCTTTGCGACGCACAAGGTGCCCGCATTCCCCGTCACACCGCTCATCGACCCTCTATAGGACACAACGACTCAATGGGCGATCAAGATTTTGAAGAAGAGTGAGGTCATTCGTTTACAACAGGTTCCCTGTGAGTCCACCATCGGATCAGCTGAAAAGTTTTGCAGGTGGAGCACATTATGTCCGAGAAGACGATCCTTGATCAGTGTAAGCATCCCTTCATTGTGCATTTGGCGTGCACCTTCCAAGGTAATCATCTCAAATAGGATCTCCTGTAATACTTCCTTCTCGCAGATAAGCGGCACCTATACATGGTGCTCGAGTATGTCATTGGTGGCGAGTTTTTTACACACCTTCGGAACGCTGGACGCCTCGACACTATCTCCTCTAAGTTTTATTCCGCGCAAGTTGCGTTAATATTTGAATACCTCCATACTCACGACTTTATTTACCGCGATCTCAAACCGGAGAATCTTTTGTTGGACAAAGATGGATATATTAAAATCACCGATTTTGGTTTTGCTAAGCGGGTTGTGTTTAAAACGTCTACTCCCGGGCCCCCATTAAAAAATGATTCATGAGCTTTCCGCGCATGGCCCTTGTAGGTACACTCTCTGTGGCACACCTGAATACATCGCCCCAGAGGTATTACTCAACAAGGGCCACGGCAAAGGCGTAGATTGGTGGACCTTGGGGATCCTCATGTACGAAATGATGGTCGGGCAGCCTCCGTTTGTTGATGATGATCCAATGGGCATATACCAGCAGATCTTAAATGGAAAGTTGAATTTTCCGCGCTTCATAGAGCGAAGTGCCAAGTCATTGATCAAGAAAATGCTGGTTGCTGACTTGACAAAAAGGTATGGCTGTCTCAAGGGTGGAGCTGCAGATATCAAGAAACACAAATTCTTCCAGGGTCTAATCTTTGACGACATGCTTTCGAAGCAGCTTGCTGCGCCTGTACTCCCCCTTGTGAAAGACGAGTATGACACCTCCAACTACGACGCATATCCAGATTCGGTGGAGCAGCCTCCAATTCCTGTGTACGCTGGCGCTGACCTATTTGTCACCTTCTAGTCACCACATGCGCATGTCGCCATCTTTTCTCTCATCCCCAGACGCACATAACTCCAAGTTATCATAAATCATTACATCTTGATAAATCCTTTACTTCAATGTTGAGCCGCCGCGCAATTATGAGTGTCATCAGAACCGCCTGTGGTTCAATTCTGAGGTACGAATGACTGAATAATTATCCTCATGCCAGGAATCAAGTTGCATACGTGAGGGTGAGTATCTAATTAATGGCTCTATCCTATAATGGCCCTACCCTGCCACTCATTGGCTGATATCAGTATCGCACTAACAGCGCCATACCGGCAAATTTGAAAGCCGCGTCTTCCTTTTGCAAGTGCCCCGTGTTGGCACGGTAGCCGGATTTCTAGCGGCCACCCCGGGGGACGAGCCACACGCCCAGGTGGGCCCCCACCGTTGCGCCTAATGAAGGGTGGGGGTGCGCGAATAGCCCATATGCCCGCCCTAGTGGTATGTTCTTTGGTTGTGGCGCCTTCTCAGGTAGGGGGGGCATATAGGAAATGAGCCGTAGTGATTATAATTGCCCAACGTATATATCATAAACGATGCGGGCAATTCGTTTTAAAGTTTGCATCTTCTTCAATATTGGCTGTGCACTCACAGCCATTCATATCCCAAAGTTCATCGAGCCCAGTGAAGTTTATTCCGCCAAGGGTTAGTTTTGCTTATGGGTCATTGAACTCCGGCTATGGTGGTAATTTACCCTCAGCCTGACTCTTGACTAGGGTATGGTAATAATTACTTAGTAGACTCCCTACTCAAGTAGGCAGCCTAATCTGCGATCGGGCTCTCGGTCCTCAATCGCTGGAGTTGAGTGAGTAGGAAAGAAAAAGGGGCAACGTCATGGAAATCTAGATATGTATCCTCCGTCGCTCGCTATATCCATCCTAAAATCAGACTCTAGATACAAGCACACTGCACTGCCAACCTCAAGCTAAGTCAGATAAGATACCTCAGTCTAGTCTCCCGCCACAAAGCCCCCATACTTAGCGCGCGCGCCGCGGCGTCCTCGACCTTGAGCTCGTCGGGGTAGCGCATGAGCTTCTGCACGTTAGCGCGGCACTCGCCGTCCTGCGCGATGTGGTCTAGGCGCTTGATCAGGAACATTTAGAAGCGGACCTTCTCGTCGTCCGTCGCCTCGGGGCAGCCGAGGAGCGCGGCGGCGGCGCATGTCAGCGTCGCGCCGCTTATTTTCCCGCGCGACCGCAGAAGGGTGCGAACGAGATCCGCCGAAATCTCCGGGGTACCCGGGTTGACCATGACGACGAGCGACGGCCCGAGCGACACACAGCTGTCGCCCACCCTACAAGTGTTTCGACGCACGCAACGCAAGTGTTTGGCCCGCGGCCGATACTGTTCGATACGCTCACTGCAACTGTCTACGAGTGTTTCGTGAGCTCTAGTTAGTGTTTGTAACACTTAGTTACAGCTTTGCTACCAACCCCGGGAGCTGCGTCCTGCGGCGCCTTATGGCGAATGCGCCGGTTTATGGCTCCCCGCTAAATCGCCCCGGCCAGAATGGGTCTGAGTCACACTGTCACAGTGCCCTGCACTTGATGGAGCAAGCTCCATCCCCCAACGGACGTGGGACAATTCGTTAATATTATTCGTTTCCCGGGGGCCCACACTGCCCGAAATCGTGACCACCGGCCACCGGTAGGAAATCTGCTGGGGATGTGCATCGTCGCGTCTGCCGTAGTTCAGCAAACGCAACTCCTCGCTTAGGTGTCAGAAGGTGTAGGTTTGCGTTACAAGCCTAATGACGTCTATTAGCTGTCAGAGAATGATGGACTTGTGATAAGAGGGGCTAGATACGACACATGGTCAATTCATTCGAAATCCTCTACAATTCAGGAGGGTTTATTGGCGCTATTATATTGTAATGCGCTCAAGACATGACTTCTCACGACTTCGTTTTGGATGACCGGCTGGTATTCTCTCTGGACCCGAGAACTGTTTACCAATATGACCTGCGCACGGTGACGAGCACGCGGCGTAGTAAACCGCGGCGCATCTCGCCGCTGGACCGGACGAGATCTAGTCCGGGCATCGTGGATGGGGGTTTGAATACTCCAAGCCAGGCAGCACGGGCGCTACCGGCTGATGGCTCGGAACCGCTCACCTTGCGGGCACGCCTAAGGCCCTTGTTAGCACAGTCGCTGCCAAACCTAACGCCAAGTGAGCCTCAGATGATGCGGCGCCGCTCAAGCACTGTCCAAGCATTGTTGGATGTGGCAGCAGCCAACGAGACGGGTGAAAATCCTAATTATGCGGCAATCAGGTTGGCAAACGCACCAGTTCAGCCATCTGCAGCCTTGGATGAAGAGGACTTGAAGATTGCACAATTAGGTCTTGAGACTGGTGAAGATGCAGTGAACTACTTCACAGCTGCCACGAAAGACTCTCGCGTCAAGTTTGTGCATCTGGTGCCTGCAGATACGGGCATGGAGTTCAAACCTTATACATTGGATGTGGTTCCATCCGGTATTGCGGTTGCCCGGGGCGAGTATTTTACCATGTCTCGATCGGGGCTTGTGCATTGCGTTCTGCGCAAGGGGACCAATGCGACAGAGTGTATCTCGATGAATGAATGGGTGCGACATAGCACGTTTTTTAATCTGCTCAGAAGCATTTCTTACTTCAAGTATTTCATTCCTTTCAAGATGTTTCGGCAGTGGCGATCTAACGTGCGTCAGCACCTTTTTGCGCAGCAACGGCAGAGACTCACAGCTCGTCTCTTCTTGGCACGCGCGTCATTTTGTCAGCCCATGATTGAGCTGAAACGAGAGATCTTTGAGCTGAAGAAAGCGAGCTTCATCATGACGCCTAGACCTAGAGTTCAGTCAGACCCCCTGGAGGTCTTCATGGAACAGCAAATTGTCACTAGGAAAGAAGCCATGGCGATGTGTGAGGCCGCGATGAAACGAGTCGTTGAAATCGCAAGTAAGGCTTGTGAAACCGTGCAGACCCTGGACAAGAACAAGGCCGAAAGTGAGGACCCTCGGAAGCGGCTCGATGCCCTGATGGCCGCCAAGCTAGAGGGGAAAAACGTCAAGGCTAGGAGCATGAATGCGGCTGTAGAGGAGAGGCGGGCCAGAAAGCGCCTAGCGGCACGCGCTGCTGAGGATCGGGGTCTTTTGAGCGATTTCGTGAGGCTTGCAGATTGCATGATGGTTGAAACCGTCGTCGCGCATGTCTTACAATCGTTCAATGGCGAACTTCTTGCGGACTTCATGGACACGCAACACAAGGTGGGACTCTTCGAAGTCATGGTTGGCTTTGACGAGACTGGTACAATCTTCACGCCCACTTTGGATGACTTCTTTGGAATGTCACATCGGATTGCGGACGAAATCATCGCCTTGGTGTCTCGTATTCCAAGGGTCTTGGATGCGCGTGGCTGTGCAGAGCACTGCACATCTGCGGCTTTTGCTTCCAAGTTTGACGAAGTCATTCGCAGTTTGCCGCTCTTTGACAGGTTCATGGATTCATTGCACGACAAGTTTCGCGATGACTTTGGACAAGCGATGCACAATAGTACCGCCTTTGATCCCATCAGGCCCGTCTATGAAGAGTCTAAGGCGTTTGACCCAGATGAGTACCGCGCAGTGACGCGATCATTCACTGAATCTCGTAAGGAATTCGAGCAGGTTTGCGTCTGGCAAAAGGAGCTCGACAAGATGCGAACACGGGAAAGCATTGGGACTATTGAAGTCACATCACGGCAGCTCAAACAGACTTTGTCACCCTTCATTGAAGCCAAGCAAGACCTTCTCAAAGGTATCATCCGAGATGAGGCCCGTGTTCAGTGTGCAGAAGTGCTGAAAACTCTCACTCGACGAGTTAAGATCTTGGAAGCAACTCCACAGAACTTGAAGGAATATGCAACTTACGTGGAGCAGACAGCCGAGTACGACGAGAGGGAGATGCGTCGTATTAAAGGTCCCGTCGATCAAATGTATGCTCTGCTTCAAATGAATGATGTGAAGATACCACCAGATGACTTGGTAGCGTTGGATGAGATGCACTCCTACGCCACCCAATACAGCGAGCAGCTGATGGCCGCCAAGACTCTCAAGGAAGGCGAGCTCACGGCCCAGTCTGAGCAACTTGATAAAGATATTGTAACGTTGAATTCCAATCTCTCTGAATTTACTTCGGCTATCATGGCGGGAAATTTTATCGATGTTGCACACTTCGAAGATCCAGAAATACCTGTTGTGAGGAAAGATCTAGCTATGATGCACCATCGCCTCGAGCAACTGACCTCTCTGGCGCGCACTTATGCCGGCTATAAGGAGTTGTTTGGATATCATGCGGACGAATTCCCTCAACTCAAGAAGGCAACTGACCAACTAAAATTGGTTGACAAGCTATGGGCATCTGTCGCTGACTGGCATGCACAGCATGATAGTTGGATTTTGGGCGACCTCACGAAGCTTAACGCTGAAGAAGTGGACCAAAAGATGCAGCTCTTTGCGGCGGACATATTTTCCCTTAACCGGAAGATTAACTCGCCCGTCACGGAGAAGCTAATGGAAGTCGTCGAAGTTTTCAAGCCAACAATGCCTCTCGTGATGGACCTGGGCAATCCAGCAATGCTTCCCAGGCATTGGGAACGCCTTTTCAAGGCAATGGGTAAGAGCTACGACCCGTCGAAGTCTTTCAACTTGGATGACTTCATCAAATGGGGTATTGCCGATCATGCGGAGCTCGTCTCAGAGATCGGCGGCACTGCATCGGGGGAATCTCAGCTCGAAAAGGCCCTGGTCAAAATGGAGGTCGCGTGGGAGACTCTGGCCTTCAACACGAAGGAATGGCGCACATCATATATACTGGTTGGTATTGATGAGATTCAACAGGAACTGGACGACCAAATCGTGAGGACCCAGGCGATGCGCGGTAGCAGATTTGTGAAGCCCTTTCTCAAGCGAACCACCGCCTGGGAATCCATGCTTATAGAACTTCAGGACATCATTGACAATTGGCTCAAGGTCCAGGCTGCATGGCTCTATCTTGAGCCAATTTTTTCTTCTGACGACATTATGAAGCAAATTCCCACTGAGGGGCGCCTCTTTAAGAATGTGAATCAAGTTTGGATGGATTCCATGGCGACCACTGTTGCAGAGCCGGGTGTTTTGCAAGTTGCGAGGCGTTCTGGCCTCCGAGAGTCACTCGTTGACGCGAACGCTCGCTTGGACAGAATTCAAAAGGGTCTAAACGATTACCTAGAAACCAAGCGACTGGCGTTTCCACGATTTTTCTTCCTGAGTAATGATGAGCTGCTGGAAATACTCGCGGAGACCAAGGACCCCACGCGGGTCCAACCGCACCTGAAGAAGTGCTTCGACGGTCCATATCCAGAGTCTCCTTGATCGACATTCCGCGACCCACCCCCGCTCCGCCCCCGGGCAGGTATTGTGAATCTTGAGTTCACGGACAAGCTAGACATTCTATCTTGTTTTGATGGACCTGCTGGTAAGGGGGAGCGCCTGGAATTTGCTTATGGACCCTGCCATCACCGCCCTATCAACCCCCGAGACAGCGGTGGAAATGTAGAGAAGTGGCTCGTCGAGGTCGAATCAATCATGAAGAAGTCGTTGGCGTTCCACATTGACGAGGCCGTGGTAGATTTTGCACAGACGCAGCGGCCCCAATGGCTAAAAAATTGGCAGGGGCAGACAGTACTTACAGTAAACCAAATAATGTGGGTCACGTCTGTGGAGGATGCAATAAACACTGGCGGTGGTGCGATGGAAGCTCTCTTTGATCAGCGAAGAGATGAGCTCCTCGACGTTGTCAAATCAGTGCGAGGAGATATTCCAAAGATGCTCCGCAAAACACTAGGATCATTGGTCGTCATGGATGTCCACAATCGTGATATCACCGCAGAGCTCGCTGGCGCTGATATCACCGCAGTCACGGATTTCGACTGGCAGGCTCATCTCCGATACTATCACGAGGCCGGTGGGGCCTCAGCACAGTGCGGTGAGCCCGGTTCTATCGCCTGTAGGATGATCAATGCCATGATTCTTTATGCGTACGAGTACATTGGCAATTGTGGCCGCCTTGTGATTACACCTTTGACAGATCGATGCTACCGTACTCTCATGGGTGCCATCCACCTCAACCTAGGGGGTGCGCCAGAGGGGCCCGCAGGGACGGGTAAGACGGAGACAACGAAGGACTTGGGCAAGGCTATTGCCATTCAGTGCGTCGTCACGAACTGCTCGGTAGGTCACCCCCCATCCCTCGCTCCCGTATCGCGCTTGTGCGTGCGTGCATTACAGAACTTTCTCAGGATGGCTTGGATTATAAAGCCATGGGAAAATTCTTCAAAGGGCTAGCTGCGTCGGGCGCTTGGGCATGCTTCGACGAGTCGAGCTCCGTGCCTCGACTAGCAAAGCAGCTAGAATGATATGTCCATCCGTGCTTAGGTTTAATCGGATCCAGCTCGAGGTGCTCTCGGTGATTGCGCAGCAGGTGCTCACGATCCAGCAAGCCAAGGCGCGTAGGGCTGAAAGGTTCTTGTTTGAGGGAACAGACTTACCTCTGAAGATGACTTGCTGTCCCTTCATCACCATGAATCCAGGGTATGCAGGTCGTGCGGAGCTCCCTGACAATCTCAAAGTTCTTTTTAGAACCGTTGCGATGATGGTACCAGACTACGCGATGATCGGTGAAATCTTGCTCTACTCAATGGGGTATACTGATGCCAAGGCGATGGCTGTCAAGATCGTCACGACCTACAAGCTTTGCTCCGAGCAGCTCTCGTCACAGTCTCACTACGACTACGGCATGCGCGCGGTCATGGCCGTGCTCCGCGCCGCGGGGAATCTGAAGCGCGCCGAAGGCGATCTCCCCGAGGATGTGCTCGTTTTGCGATCTATCATCGATGTGAATCTCCCAAAGTTTCTGTCTCCAGACGTACCACTGTTCGAAGGCATCACCTCAGATCTCTATCCTGGGGTCAAAATGCCGGTCCCAGATCGCGAGGCGATGCGCGGGGCATTCGAAAGCAGCTGCAAGGATCGTAATCTGCAGCCAACGCCTTATTTCTGGGACAAGGTTGTCCAAATTTACGATATGATGGTGGTACGACACGGGTTTATGATTGTTGGTATGCCATTCTCGGGGAAGACCAGTGCCTGGAAGGTCCTAGCAGATTCGCTCGGGGAGCTACATTCCAAGTACCCCGACGATTCCCGCTGGACGAACGTGGTACCATTCATCATGAATCCCAAATCTGTGACCATGGGACAACTCTACGGGCAATTCGATCCCGTTTCGACCGAATGGACGGATGGCGTCCTCGCAATCAACTACAGGAACGCAGCAACGTCAAAGGTTGGGGGCGTTGATGACCGGAAGTGGGTTTTACTAGATGGCCCGGTGGATGCAATCTGGATTGAAAACATGAACACCGTACTTGATGATAATAAGAAGCTCTGTCTGATGTCTGGCGAGATCATTGCGATGTCAGATGTTATGTCCATGATTTTTGAACCTATGGATCTCTTAGTTGCAAGTCCAGCGACGGTATCTCGCTGCGGCATGGTCTATATGGAGCCTGAGCAACTCGGATGGCAGCCAATTTTGGATTCATGGCTGAAGATGTGGAAAGCTGTCAAGGTCCCGTCTAAACCTACTGAGGGGGGAGAAGCTGGACAGGGAAGTGGTAGCGAGGCAACTGCAACTTTGGAGGAACCAGCACGCGGAGAAGAGTGCCACACAGACGACTTTGCTTTGAGCGACGAAGAGGTGGAAAGGCTTCGCGTTCTCTTCCACTGGCTTGTCGAACCTTGCATGTGCCTTGTACGGCGATCCCTGAAGGAGGTCTCGCCGACGGTGGACAGTGGGCTGCTCAAGAGCCTTCTGAACTTGTTAACTTGTTTTCTCAGAGATTCGATTCCAAATTCTAAGGCTGATTTAGAAGCACCTCGAATGAAATTGATCGAATGCGGTTTTCTCTTTGCGCTAACCTGGAGCGTGGGTGTGACTGTTGGAGGAGGAGGCCGGGCGCGCTTCTCTGAATTTTTGCGTGCGCTGATTAAGGATGTCGCCTGTCTCGAGCAAGCTCCTTATGGTGGGGTGCAAACACTTCTGGCAATGCGCAAATGGACGCCACCACCGAAAATGGGGTTGCGTTTTGAGCTGAATATTCCCGAAGAGGGTGAGATCTATGATTATTGTTTCAGGCCACAGGATAATGGGCGCTGGTTGAGCTGGCTGGAAACACTAGATGGGGATTTCACAATAGCCCCGAAGACACCATTCTCCGAGATTTTAGTTCCAACCGTGTGTACTGCACAGATCTCCTTCTTACTGCCTACCATGCTGCCCCGAGGATACCGACCTCTCATTGTTGGGCCAACGGGGACAGGCAAGTCCGTGTGCGCGGCGAAGTGCCTTGCAAAGGAGTTAAGCCCGGACAAGTTCAAGCCCCTCAGCCTGGGGTTCAGTGCCAAAACTTCTGCTAACATGACGCAGGAGATCATTGATGGCCAGCTGTCCAAGCGAAGGAAGGGCGTGTTTGGTCCGCCCATTGGCAAGCAAGCAATCATCATGATTGATGATCTCAACATGCCAGAGGTCGAGACATACGGAGCGCAACCGCCGATCGAGCTGCTAAGGCAATTAGTGGACTCTGGTGGCTATTACGACCTTAAAGAAAAGTCATGGGTCAAAGTTGTTGACACCGTAATGATGTGTGCCATGGGCCCACCTGGCGGCGGGCGCAATCCCACGACACCGCGATTCTTGGGGCACTTTGGCTGCTTGTCCTTCAATGAATTTGACGATGACACGCTGACGCTGATTTTCCGGACTATCGTGGACCATACAATTGATGATCAATTCCCTGGGGATGTGAGGAATGCCCGGAACTGTGTAGTTGAGGCCACGCTCAAAACTTACCGCGAAGCCATGTTAAATCTATTGCCAACGCCATCTAAGTCGCACTACACGTTCAATTTGCGGGATTTTTCGAGAGTTATAAGCGGTGTCCTTCTCTGCGAACCGAAAGATGTAGTGGACCGATCTACCCTCGCGAGGCTATGGACCCACGAGGCCCTGCGAGTATTCGCCGACCGCTTGACAGACGAAGCAGATCGCAATTGGTTTGTTGCGCACGCCAGGCGCATGGTCAATGAGGTATTTGAGCTAGACTTCGAGGATGAATTCGGACATCTTCGTGCCGAGGCCTGCCATAATTCCGCGGTCGGATACGGCGAGCTGAGACGACTTTTCTTCGGAAATTACATGGCTCATCCGGATGAAGAATTCCGGCCATATGCGGAAGTTCGGGACATCCCGGCGTTGCAATTCACGATCGAGCAATATTTAGTCGATTTCAATGCGGTATCCAGGAAGCCCATGGACCTTGTGATGTTCATGTTCGCAATCGAGCATGTGTCTCGAATTTCGAGGGTTCTGAAGATGCCGGGAGGCAACGCACTTCTAGTCGGAGTTGGGGGCTCTGGACGCCAGTCGGTCTCTATTCTAGCTACGGAGGTCGCAGGCTACAAGCTGAATCGGATAGAAATTTCTAAGAACTATAGCATGGTCGATTGGCGTGAAGATATGAAAGCGCTCCTGAGAGACGCGGGGACTGGCGAGAAGCCCGTCGTGTTCCTGTTCAGTGACACGCAGATCAAGTTAGAAGCTTTCGTCGAGGATATCAATAATATCCTTAATTCTGGTGAGGTACCGAACCTATTTGCAAACGATGAGAAGGTCGCAATCTGCGAAAAAGTTCGAACGTTTGCCAAAGAAGTATTCGGGAACAAGGAGGCCGGTCGCATGACGCCGCTGCAGCTCTATTCATACTTTGTTTCCAGAGTCCGCCAGCGGTTGCATATAATTCTCGCCTTCTCTCCCATCGGAGATGCCTTCAGGGACCGTCTTAGGCTCTTCCCATCTCTCATTAATTGTTGGTGCGTCGCCAACCCCCCGCCCCCATCACTGCCGCGTGCACGCGCTCGCGCGCTCCTGAGAGACTCACAGTAGCAACCTTTCACCTCACGTAGCTTCCCGCCTGATCACGAGCTGCTGACAAATCATGGGTTCAAGTCACTCGCGGACGTCGTTGATTGGAGAGATGACGATGGTGAGCTTCTTTTTGCTTCCTATAATTCGGTGAGCGATCAAATCGTCTACGAATCTCCTGTGAAGATCGTCATCAACCCACCGTGCGAGCAAGAATTGGTTGAGTTTACTGCTTCGGCCGACGTCCACCGATGGGCTGCCGCGTCAGACTTGAGCGGTTTTAGTCATGTCAGCAAACATGCCAGTAAACAAGAAACTTGCTCCCACTCGCCGCCAGAACTTAAGCAGGATAGTGCTGCCGACGTGGCCGAGCACGTATCTGCGTTTGGAACGGGGATGTTTTCTATCCTTGCGACTGGGAACCATGACATGTACGCCCAACTGGGCAGCATCGAAGGGGACTGCGAGGAATTCAATGGCAGGGTTGATGATCAATACTTCCATGACGATGGCTTCCGCAAGGTGAAGGCCAGCGACTGCGTGCACGCAGACCTCCTAAACTTCAAATCGAACGCAGAAGCTGGCCGTGAGGTTCCGCTCGAGTCCACCTTGACACGGGCCATCTCTGAGCAACTCTCCAGGCTTGAGCTCCGCGAACCTCTGCAAATAGAGGCATTCTTTTTATTTTACGGGTTTTGGCTAGGCAATGGCGACCTGGACTTGGATAGGAATGACGAGCCGTGCGCAATTGTCGTCAAAGCCAAGATCCATGACAAAGCATGGGTTGAAAGCGTAATTGACAGATGCCAAGTCGAGCACGCATTTCTAATTGAGGATGAGAAAACTTTGGTGGTCTCGATCGTAGATCTTAATTGGGTTGATTTATTCTCTGCAGAGTATTATCTCAAGCGCGCAACTCGCGAGCAAGTTGTTTTGCATGGGGATGCAATAAAAGCACAGAAGGACGACAGCCGGAAGGGGTCGCAGTCGGTTCCGAGTCTGACCTCCGAACCTGCGCAGATACATGGACCGCAGCCTTATCCGCCGTGGATGTCACTGTCGCTATTTGCAGGATGCCCGTCGGGGTCTCACTTTCCCAATGAGCTCAACACCGTGCTGAATGACTCCAGCTGCAGTGAACCACGACCGTCCTTGGCTGAAACATCCGACGCTCGGCTTAGTTCAGATACAGAAAAGGACGGGTCGCCTAGCACCCTGAACCTGGCTGCTGCCATAAGTAATAAAAAGGCCATGTCTGTCTGTCTCAAACCGTCGTCTTTTGAACGCGAGGGGCTATCATTTCAATGCTCGCTGGAGGACTATGTCAATCGAAAGGCTTTCGTGCGCACAGACATCAACGACTTTGCCCCTTCAAAAAGCGCCGCAAGCTCCGGCGGCATGGCACGATTCAGGCGGAAGAAAGTCCACAGCAGCGCAAACACGTTCTTCGAGGGCCTATCCTCACACGATCAGATAACTGGGTTGGAGGACGTCATCGGTCATGAACATCCAAGTATCTTGGCTTCGAGGTCGCCGCTTGCCTCTGCGCTGTCGGATCAAGGGATGAGACCACTGCGTGGCCCGTTTCGTAGACCCGGTCGAGCTCACGTGCAGATCTGGCAGGCCATGGAACAGCCTGCTCGCGAGGGGAGATCCACGAAAGGGCTCTTCTGGTGGGCGCTCCATCTAAACAAAAAATGCGCTCGTTCCATCATTTTAGGTCGCCAACGTGCTGATGGACCTAATGAAGCAACACGACAACCCGCAATTTTGACATCATCTATTCGTCTTCGCGATCAACTTATGCACCTGATGTTCCATGCCGGATACAGTGCACACTTCTTACCAAGAAAGGCACACTGTTGGTATCATGGTGCCAACTTGTATCAGAATCCAGATGAAACGCTCGAGACTTCTTCAAGCTGCTCGTGCTGGGAGGTGCGCTTCTTTGATGGAAAACAGTGTCAGCCCATGTTGCGTGCTGGGAAAGATATTCGCAAAGTGTGGTACGCTGGACATACCTGGTGCGCCCAGATGCCATCGGGCTTCGTTATCGTTCGCCGCGTTCGTCGCGAGAATGGTGTCGTCACAAAGGCGTCGCTCCCGTCCATCCAAGGAAATTGTCGGGCACACAGCGTCTTTTAAAAAGCGTCATGGACTTCTTCTTTTAGGTGCAATAGACTGGTTTACAGCCTGGCCTGGTGATGCGCTCGTTGCCGTCGCAAAGAAGTTTTTAAGTGACGTTGAGCTCGAAGAGTCGATACGACCAGCGATCACTTCGACTTGTCAGCATTTTCATGATGCCGTGCGCGCTCTTTCCGCGAGGTTCCAGGCCAAAGCGGGTCGGATCAATTACGTCACTCCAACTAGCTACCTCGAATTGATATTGGCATTCAAAGCCGCGCTTGGCAAACGCCGTTTGGCGGTCAAGAAGGAAAAAGATCGCTATCAGAATGGACTCGAGCAGCTCGCGGCCGCAGAAGAATCAGTCGGCGGGATGCAAAAGGAACTGACTGATCTGCAGCCAGTCCTCAGGCAATCACAGAAGGATACTGATGCTCTGATGTCGGAGATTGAAGACAAGCTCCCTGGTGTACGAAAAGAGGAGGAAACCGTTGGAAAGGAAGCGGCCGTTGCCCAGAAGGAGGCGGACAAAGTCCAGAAGCAAGTCGACGAGGTGCAAGCAGACCTGGACGAGGCAATTCCGGCCCTCAATGATGCCTTGAAGGCGCTGGACACTATCAAGCCAGCAGATATCGATGAAGTCCGCAAGCTGGCCAAGCCGCCGGCTACTGTCAAGCTGGTTGCTGAGGCCATCTGTGTCATGCTTGGTGAGAAGCCAGTAAAGGTTCCAGACCCTGATGACCCGACGAAAAAGGTTTGGGACTTCTGGCCAACTTCGCAGAAGATGCTAAATGACAAGGGATTCATTCCTAAGTTAAAAAACTACGACAAGGACAACATCCCTATCAAGGTCATGAAGGAAATTCGCACCAAGTACAAACAAGATCCAGCTTTCACACCTGAAAATGCGAAAAAGGCTTCGTCAGCAGCGGCAGGCCTGTGCAAGTGGTGCTATGCGATGGATACGTACGACCGCGTTGCCAAGGTCGTCGGCCCCAAAAAGGAAGCGCTAGAGTTGGCTCAAAAGTCGCTGGCAGTCACCATGGCCGCTCTCAATAAAAAAAAGGCGAGCCTGCAGCAGACTCAAGACAACTTATCGGCACTGCAGGCCAAACTAGCTCAAAGCAAACGCAAAAAGGAAGAGCTTGCCGCCCAGGTCGACCTCTGTGGGAAAAAGCTAGTCAGGGCAAAACAGCTAATCGGCGATTTGGGTGGCGAGAAGCTGAAATGGACCGGATTTACTCGTGCCCTTGGAGCCGCATATGAGAATCTTACCGGTGATGTTTTGGTGTCTGCTGGGCTCATGGCTTATTTGGGTCCTTTCACTTCGACCTACCGTGACTCCCAAATGCAGGAGTGGGTTGCACACTGCCTCGCGCAGTCAATTCCCTGCTCTGGGACCCCGACACTCGCGGGTACACTTGGGAATCCAGTGCAAATCCGCCAATGGAATATTGAAGGCCTTCCAACGGACAATTTTTCAATTGACAATGGAATCATCATCTTTAACTCTAGAAGGTGGCCCCTCATGATCGATCCACAAGGTCAGGCAAATAAATGGGTGCGAAATATGGAGAAGCAAAATGGTGTTCATGTCCTCAAGCTGACAGACGACTACATGCGCACGCTCGAAAATGCAATCAATTTTGGACAGCCTGTCTTACTTGAAAACGTTGGCGAGGAGCTAGACCCGACTCTCGAGCCTCTTCTCCTGAAGCAGGTCTTCAAGTCGGGAGGTCTCGACATGATACGACTCGGCGATTCCACGGTCCAATACAGCGACCAGTTCCGTTTCTACATGACAACGAAATTGCGGAATCCACATTACTTACCAGAGACTTCCGTGAAGGTGACTCTACTCAATTTTATGATTACTCCCGTTGGCTTATCTGACCAGTTATTGGGCGTTGTAGTCTCCCAAGAACGAGCAGATTTAGAGAAAAGAAAGAACGAGCTCGTCCTCGAAGGTGCGTCAAACGCGAGAAAGCTAAAAGACATAGAAGATCAAATCCTGGAAATTCTGAGCTCGGAAGGGAACATACTCGAAGACGAGAAGGCTATTACTACCCTGGGTAAATCTAAAGTGACCTCAGACGAGATCAAGCAGAAGCAAGCGGTCGCAGAGAAGACAGAGAAGGAAATTGATGAAGTCAGATCAGGCTATCGGTCTGTCGCGTATGACACGCAAGTTTTGTTCTTTTGTATCTCCGATTTAAATAATATCGAGCCGACCTATTCGTACTCGCTGCCGTGGTTCATCAACCTGTTTGTGTCCAGCATCCAGAAGTCAGAGCCCTCGAACGACATCGCATCTCGCCTCAGAAATCTGAGCATTCATTTCGAATATTCTCTTTACAAGAATGTGTGTCGATCTCTTCTAGAGAAAGACAAGTTGCTGTTTTCTTTCGTTCTGACGATTCGCAAACTTGCATCGAAGAGAGGAGGCAGCTTTGATTCCGCCGAATGGCTATTTTTGTTGACTGGCGGTGTCGCCCTAGATAATCCGCATGCAAACCCCTGTCCCGATTGGCTCTTGCAGAAGCAATGGAATGAGGTCTGTCTTTTGTCGGAGTTGCCCGCCTTCTCGGACCTTCGTGATAAGTTCAAAATTCAACGAGGGTCTTGGCAAGCAATATACGATTCGGTTAGTCCACACGAGATGCCCCTTCCTGGCCAATGGGATGCCAAGCTTAAGGGATTGCGTAGACTGTGCGCGCTAAGGTGCATCCGCCCGGACAAAGTAGTTCTTGCAGTTCAGAAATTTGTCATCGAGACCATGGGAGAAATTTTTGTGCGTCCGCCTCCATTTGACCTCCAGGCATGCTACGACGAATCCGTTTGCACGACTCCCTTGGTCTTTGTGCTCTCACCTGGGTCGGACCCGATGGGTGCAGTCCTCCAGGCGGCGCAACAGCTGAACCGTCGTGTATCGCCCATGTCTTTGGGCCAAGGTCAAGGACCGCTTGCTGACAAGCTGATTGCAAATTCGACAAAAGATGGATCCTGGGTTGTTTTGCAAAACTGTGCGTCGAGCGGCGTTTCGCACGGTTCTCCCCTCCCGAGTGAATCTTTCCATGAATCTTGGTCCCATCGAACACCTCGAACCCGCGCTTTCGTAGGTCACTTGGCGCCAAGCTTCATGTCACGTCTCGAGCAGATCTGCGAATCACTCAAGCCCGATTCGACGGACAAGGACTTCCGACTGTGGTGCACGACATACCCGTCACCGATCTTCCCTGTCTCGGTTCTGCAGAATGGAATCAAAATGACCATCGAACCTCCCAAAGGGCTAAGGGCCAACCTAATTGGCTCGTATTCAAACGCACCTCTTTCAGACGCCAACTATCTTGACACGTGCAATAAGCCGGGGCCTTTCCGAAAGCTCTCTTATGCCCTGTGTGTATTTCATGCGCTTCTTCAAGAGCGGCGATTGTTTGGCCCTCTTGGGTGGAACATTGCCTATGGATTTAACGAGTCTGATCTGCTCATTTCAATGCAGCAACTTGCTATGTTTCTCGATGAGAACGAAGAGGTCCCCTTTAAGGCACTCAAGTACTGCATCGGCGAGTGCAATTACGGGGGCCGTGTTACCGACGGCAAGGACCGTAGGACACTCAACTGCATTCTTGATCGTTTTTTTTGTGACGAAGTTCTGGAAACTGGTGCCAACCTGAGCGATAGTGGCATTTATAGGATGCCCGGCGCGTCTACACACCCGGAATTCCTCAGTGTCATAAGCGATCTACCTTTGGTTGCAGAACCAGAGATTTTTGGTTTTCACGAGAACGCGATGATAACAAAGGATACGAAAGAAACTAGTGACCTTTTTACGGCTATCCTTCTGACCGAGGGAGGTGGTGAAGGTGGCGGCGAGGGTACCTCGACGGATGACCAAATATTATCCACGGCTAACGATATCTTACACAAACTCCCAGACGCTTTCGACATGGAAGCGGCCCAGGTCAAATACCCAGTCACATGGTCTGAGTCTATGAATACTGTGCTCTGTCAGGAGCTCGCGAAATTTAACAATCTGACAAATCTCATTAAATCCTCACTGAGGTCAGTCCTTAAAGCCGTTAAGGGAATTGTGGTGATGTCCTCGGCTCTCGAGAAACTCGGCGAGTCCTTGATATACGGCACGATTCCCATCCTATGGAAGTCCAAATCCTATCCATCCTTCAAACCGCTCGCGGGCTATGTTCAGGACCTTCTTGCTCGACTGTCCTTTGCTGGCAACTGGGTCCACGACAAACCACCTCCAACTTATTGGCTTTCTGCCTTCTTTTTCCAGCACGCCTTCATGACTGCATCAAAACAAAACTATGCGCGTAGTAAAACAATTCCAATTGATGCTATAGGGCTTCAATTCGAGATGCTACCGAAACCGAAGTACTCCAATCCGCCAAGCCTCGGCGTCTACTGCTACGGGCTTTTCTTTGAAGGTGCTCGCTGGTGTCACCAGACCAACCTACTGGCAGAATCGGAGCCCAAGGTGCTATATTCGCCAGCACCGCTCATCTGGTTCCAACCGAAGAAGTCTGTTGATATCGATCATCCGCCGGGCTACAAGTGTCCCGTCTACAAGACTGCAGACCGCCGCGGCATTCTAGCGACGACTGGCCGCGATCCGCGTCGAGAATCAAAACTTGACTGACTAGGGGGTCAGCGCGTTTAGCCACACAGGGTTTGACTTCTGAGTGTTTCTATCGTAGGCCACTCTACCAACTTCATCCTGGACATCCTCGTTCCGTCCGCCATTCCCGAGGCGCATTGGGTACAACGTGGGGTGGCCATGCTCTCCCAGCTCGACGACTGAGGCCGATATCATACCGTCACATTCATGTTTCCGGGTGTGCCGTACATGGTGGGTGACACGCTTGCGTACACAGTTGCCTGGCCCGGGTTGCTTTTTGTAACAGAGGGGCTGTCGGCGACACTGCGGGTACTGACCTCGTGTGGCGGTCGGTACCAATACCGCAGTGTGGTGATGGGCTCGTGCTTGGAGACTGCCTGTACCGCCAACGCGACACTCCATCTCGCGTGATCTTGGGCCGGGGGTTGTGGGTCCGGCCCTCGGCCATGCCCTTCGGTGAACTCTTCGGTGAGTCTTCGGTACACCCCCTCTTTTGATAGCTCAGGCTTAGTCAGCGCGGCTCGATTTTACCATGAAGAATTTTACCTTGATTTTCTGACAAAGAAGCTGTAGCACAAAGCCGCAAAGAGATTTTCCTAGCCATGTCTCCTGAGGCGGCTCCAAAGTGGTTCTCTGGGAGGGAGACCCGTAGAAGGCCCAAGAGCCCGGACGACAGGCACGAAGTAGTCTCCTCCGCAGCGGAGACCCCGCCTCCTGGTGCAGGCGCTTGCAAAGTATGTATCCTTGACTCTACCTTAAGATACTACAACCAGCCCAGTGCGCTACTCTACCTAGATACCCCGCATTGAAGCAAACCCTCGATGTCCTGGGTGTCCCCCCCTGTCCCCCCTCTTGGAATAACGTTTATGGCCCACATATAACAAGACACCCTACCTAGCCACAGCCACTGTAGCACCCTGCTATCTACGGTCCCGGGCCCGCCTACTTCACCTGTGCGCTGCCGTGCCGACTCGGAGTCTCACTAGAGTAGCCTCCTTCTTAAGTCTGCTCCAGCACCCACCAAGACTGCCCTTGACCTGTTATTACAGGTCATGGGCCCACATCAGCAAGGTGGGTGGTTCTGAGAGTTCTTCTCTTCCCAGACCCCCGGTGCTCAGTTCAGATCCTTCGGCGCGTCATTTTCCGGATTCAGTGATTGGGACATCAAGCAAAAAAGTGCTTGATTTCTGTAATAGTAGTAGCGCGAGAGATGTCGTCGTCCCCGAGCTTTTCGTTTGGCGGTCGGGGTGTAAGTCGCGATCCTATTCGCTGCGCGAAGACTCTTTTCGTTCCAGGCCCCGGGGCGTACAGTGCCCGGGGTTCTACGGGCAGGCAATTGAATTCTCGGCACAAATCCGCAGCTATATCGAAGTTTCCGGTCACAGACCGCTCGCAGGCGTCGAGGGTGTTCGCGGGCACGGCGACTCTCGATTTTGTTTGTTCGCAATACCCCCGCGTATTATTGCCTCTTTGCACTTCCTTATGAATCAGGTTATCCAGGCCAGGACCAGGATGCTATAACATCAAGAGCACAATTGGGAATACCCCAACATTTGGTCAGACCTCAAGCTTTGCCCGAGTCGGCGTTCGAATATCTGGGTATCATGCGAGCCTCACTAATGATACTTGTCAAGTAGGCTTTCGGGAAGCAACGTGGCATTCAACAAACAGGACGTCGAGTTCCTCGTATTGCGTCCTCACCTGGCCCTGGTGAATATGATCACTGCTCGACAAAGACGCTACGATACTCGTCATTTGGATCTTCCCAGCGTAAACCGCAGTACCTTGATCGTCAATATCCGGGCCCTGGCATGCCGATTTATCCTCCCGCGGATGGACATTTCCCACAATATACGAGCCCTGTGTCATCACTCGGCAATGCTGCTACAAGACCGTCCTCTGCGGCATTCTCTTTTGGGGCTGGCGATCGAGGCTCATCCGCACGCCTGCATCGTGGTCAAACCTTCAAGCACGCACAGCAAAGTCAACATCCAATAGCCCAAGATCGGCCACAGACATCTGATGTCGGAGACTTCATTTTCAAGTCAATGCAACAACTTTGTGGTGCATAGGTTCATGCGCGAGAAGCTGCAGGGAACTCCAGCGAATCCCGGCCACAGACGACTCCCCCGCCCAAGCCATTGAAGTATACGTGGTTGCACGGTCATGTCAGTCTCGGCGCTTCTTTCCTTGAAATGACAGTTCCTCATTGTAGGTGCATTCCACCCCCATGCAAATGGCTATTTATCAGCCGACTCTAGACGGGGCCGACATGCCACGAGCAAACGAATTTGTTAAGGTATCATCGGCTTCTTTTGATCTTTACGACGATAGCTACTTAGGCCCCGACATTCTCATTTGGTCGTGATGGCAGATTTTCTGAACGCGTTTACATTCCCCACAAGCCTATGGTGCGCTCTTCGGCAACACCAGGACCCGTGTATGATATTCCGGAGACACTTGGCACCACAGTGAGTCATGACACATGTGTACCTCTGCTAAGATTCTCAGTAGGCTCCAGCATACTCCTTTCCACGCGTAAGCGACCAACTAGCGGCGAAACTCTCTCAGGAGAAACACCCCGGCCCTGGATCTTATAACATCCGGCTTGAACATCGTATGGAGGCTTTGCTGTCGGAGACAGCCTTCGGTCGACTGGACAGTTTGGAAGCCAGTCCAGGGGTGGACGCGTCGAGTGAATCACCTCAAAGCGGGCGCATTCGCTCACCGGCAACTTCTACGATCGGATTAGCCGAAGGTTTTGGTTTGAAGTTTGGTGATGTCCCGACACGTTCTACGGCACCAGCCTTTAGTTTTGGCTCTGGAAACAGACAGACTCGTGCGAAGTGTTACTATACCGGGGATCTCAATAAGGAAATGTCTGGTCGAAGTTCGCCAGGGCCCGTTACGGCACTTCAAGACATGGCTAAGGACGCAGTCTCAAATTGGGACGCGCCTCCTAACTTCAGTTTTGGAGGCAAGAATGTTGGGCGAAACAAGCTCCTGCAGCAGTCATGCATGGTGGGACCAGCACAATATGGGGGGGTTGATGCTGTTGGCGAGCAAGCTTCGTCAATGTGTGCAACCGCCCCAATAATTGGCTTTGGAAGCGCTGAACGCCGGCACATTGATTTTCAGCGAGCAGCATTGTGTCTAATTGAAGTTTGGTGCCATGGCAATATGCAACGCCCAGGTACGTTCCAAATGACATCCCCCCGCACATTCCGTACAACACGCCCAAGGCCAATGAAACGCCTGGTCCAGTCTATTTTGAAAACTCAGATCTGGGAATCGCGGCTGTTGGGCGCCAGCTTTCCTCCACGAAAAAGAATGCTCCAAAGTTTCGTTTTGGTACATCGATTCGTGATAAAGAGTCAAAGATGTATATGCCACGATCAGGTATTGCCAAGGACGCCCCAGCAGCGCAGTACTGACTAGCATATGAACAAGCGAAGTCTTAGGGCAGCGATGAAGGGAAATCAGAGCAGATGCTGCTGAGAGACTTAGGGGTTAATATCATCCGCCCCTACTAGTATCTAGCATCATCCGTCCCGTCAGGGCCACCCAGAGGTAATTGCCATCAACCACCTTAAATTGCATTTACGGCAGTACAATATGTTTCCGGTAACGAGTTAGTGAGTTTAGACCACCTATCATCATCCAGCTAAATAAAACTGCTGGTTGTGGTGGTCCTCTCCCAGCTCGCCGTTTCCCCGGGGTCCGGGGTGGCGCGGCTTATATTTTTTGGGTGTCATGGTTTCTGCTGGCAACCAGGGGTTGGGATTGAATGATAAATTGCTTGAGCATTTGAAATTGGAGATCTGTGATATGGCTATGGGTATGTTGTCAGGCGGCGCCATCCCGCCGGCGCCTATCCATGAAAACACACTCTTGGCTCTGATGTTTGAATTACTACCGTATGATGATTCTGATAAATCAGAGTTTTCTGAGGAGAGGTTTCACCGTTATTTGAGCAGACTCAATGACGAGATAATCGAGGAGGATCGCAAAAAGGAGCCCCTTGAACCCGAGTCACAGAACCAGATGCTGAGTCTCATGTGGTCAAGGTCAAGCCTTGCCCACTGTCTTGCTATAGCATTCATTTCCCCTTGCCCTCCGTCAGGGCTTGGGGGGAGCCCCCGGTCGGACCAGGTTATTGTATCCGGGACGACCGGTTGGAGGCTCGCCTCCACCAACCGCAGGCGTTTGTGCGGGTTACCCAGCCGGACGAGCATTGGCGGGGACTGTCACCCAGCTCCTTCGGCACAGATGAAGCACCCGCCCTGCCCTACCCTCCTCCATCCCCGCTGAGGTGGCTGCGCCATCCAAGCGCGGTCCGTCGGCCTTCATCCTGGCATATTTAATTGAAACTGAGCTCAACCTCCCCTCGAGGGAGGATCTTACTTGCTTCCTTTAGCTCAGGCTAGTGGGAGATACGAAAGGCCAAGTGGACGGAAACTTCCAGCCACCGCCCTTGACTGATCCTAAACCCTGCGTTATGACAGCCTCAAGCGCCTCTATCGCAGCGTCGCATTGGCGTTTGTCCCCTATATGCCTCTCCTGGATCTGCCAAACCACTAACATAATTAGCCTGTTTGCCACTCTCATTCTCAAGTGCAACAGGCACAGCTTCATTCTCTCGGTGGGAAGAGAATCATCACTCCTAAGGGGCCCCTGCGCGACGGTGCGTGCCGCGGTCCCCGGCCACGTCCCCGGCCCGCCCGGCAACCCCCCCCTGGGCCGGACGGGACCAGCGGACGGGACCCCAATGAACCCGAAGCGCCCCCGAGAGTTTTGGGTCGGCAGCTGGGGGCTTTACTTGCGGGCTTTACTCCAGCTTTACTCAGGCGCCGGGGGGGCGGGCGGGGCCCGAACTAGAAAGCGTCGAATTTCCCGCGTTCGGGGAAATCGAGGCGCGGGGCACTTAAGGGCGACTAAGAGGTGGGCGGTCGCAAACTCAGCTTCGTTGGGTTTCTCGTGTCCGGGTTTCTCATGTCCACAAGGAACCCACAACGTCCCCGAACGACGCCAAGAGCCAGGGGGTTTACCTAGGCGCCGGAACCAAGCCAGGTCGCATCGAATTTCCCGCTTCGATCTTGGCGCACGTTAAACGTGCCATGCGCCATTTGGAACCGGCAGGCGCATGAAGCCCGCGCCATATTTGCAGGCTACACTCCCGCCTGATTCCTGCCACACACGCCTGCAGCAATATTTTTATGGCTGTGCAAACTGCTCAATTGGTGCGCGACTCACATTCAACCATGAGGCAAAAGCATATCGACGGGGCCATCAAGCGGCTTGCGCCCTGGGTGAGTCCTGAGCCAAAATCCAACAGCAGCAAAGATGATGATGGCTTCCCTCGGTTTCAGATCCTGGAGAACGTCCGCGGCTACAAGCGGCAGGGGAATTAAGATGCGAACAGCAACCGGAGCCATCGCATAGAGGCCGATCAGAATGCCAAAGAAGGCAATAGACCCCGAGGTGATGAATTTGCCACGGCGAGTCAATGACCAAGTCTCCGGCTTTTTGGGCGTTTCATTTAGTACATGTGGCACATCCGGAATTTTCTCCAGCGCGACGGTGGTGGTTGAGTTGCCGCTGCTGAAGGCACCACCGCGCTCAAAATCGTACATGACTTTCTTCCCCGGGTCTACAACAAGCATAAGCCGCCAAGTGACGATGAATGCATGGGCGTGAAGCTTGCGCAGTGAGTAAAATGCAACTTCGGCATCGACAAGCGGGCCAGTAATTTGCGCAACTTTGCATCTCATTTCATAAGCTTCCCCTTCGAGAAGCTCGGCATCGAAACGCGCTTCCAGACGGCTAGCAAAAAACATCACTCTGAAGTAGTGTTCGAGATGTGCGAGACCCGTTTCGTGAACGAGATTGTAGAAGCCACGTTCCGAGTCACGGATGATCTCACGGACTGTAAAGTGGCGATTATAGTCGGTTTGTTGGAAATGAACACGAGTACCGGGCACGACAACTGTGCGCTCTAGGTCGATCACCGTGGGCGTGTTTAATAAGAAGCGAAAAAGGCCATCGCGGTGCTGAATGCGCAGATACTTGAAAAAACCTCGACGGATCATGTAGATCACACCCCGTGCTGCTTCCGCAAGTGCGGACCTCTGGCGCTGAGATGCGATGCCCGGCGCCTCGGCGCCTGTTAGTCTTGAATTCACAATGTGCTGCAACGCTTCATGGTCTACGTGGGCAAAACGGATCGTTTCTGTGCCAGCAGAATTGCGTGCATCGATCGCTGCACGGAGAGCGACAACAATTGCAGAAAAACTGTCATCTCCGGATGCAAGTTGGGCGACGCCCATGGTAACGCTGTAGGCTTGATTGACCTTGCCAATAAGCTCGACAGCACGAAGGGAGTGTAGCCCATTTTCGAAGAGAGACTTTTCTGCGTCAATCGTGCCTCCAACGAGGTCTGAACTTAGGCTGATGACATTCCGCAGTAGCGATGCGTTATCGCTCGGGCTTACATCGCCCGGTGCTATTGGCAAGCCGCCCACTTCTACCTTCGCGGGTTTCATCTCCCGAGATCGCCGAAGTCGCCTTTTATTGTCGACCTTGGCAAACTTGACTCCTTTGAGCGTCGCAATGAGTCTAGTAGGATCCGGTTCGCTCAAGAGCGTGGATGTGGCAGCACCATCGACAGAGTAAAAGGCGGCATCGCATTCTAGCCGTGCCTCCTCACGCGCAGTGATTTCTCCCACGATTAAACAATACGCAGGCCTCGCGAGATTAAGATGCGGGACTGCCTCAAAGCACCCAATGTAAAACGGAATAAAAGTCGCACCCCGACCAAACGCATCGAGAGAGCAAACGACCTGCAGAGCCGCATCGAGTAGTGCTGGCGCTGTTGTTACAGTCACAAACGCTCGGAAACTCCAATCATCGCGCCAAGCTACACGATCAACACATTTAAAAGGCCCGCTATATCTCAGCGCGACGGCAGTGCAACGTCGGTAGTGCTTCAGCCCATCCAAATCCTCGAATATGGCGGCAGCACCGTCGACCCAGCCTTCTGTATCTAGATCAGGAAGGGGGACCAATGCAGACTCTCGGACCTCGCACTTGACAATGGGGAGTCCGTCGGCATCTTCTACCGTGCTCATCAACCCGTTGCGCAATAACAGAGATTGATGCGCATCACGCACACCACGTAGAAGCTGTACCTTGTGAAGCCCGACGGGCGAGCTCGAGCTAGCATCGGAAAGGATGCAGAGCCAACCGGTCGCTGGAAGCAAAGGAGATCCACTAACATTGTGGCCGTCGAAGCGCATACGTGCCCAATAGTTCGTGATTCCCGCAAGAGGCACAACAATTGATGTTGCTTTATGGGCGCGCCAGCGTTGGGCTGCGGCGTAGCAATCTTCGTACGCATCGACGTTACGCACAACGCGAGCTGCCGCTGCTGGTGGCAAAGCTTCGTCACCGCGTAGTGCTGCTTGAAGCAGCCCTCGTTGGGTCTTGCCTGTGATTGTCTTCGGAAGAGCAGTAACAGCAACAATCGCGCTCGGTTCTGCATGGGAACCGATGATATCAAAGAGGGCTTTCCGCCAGATTGCAAGGATGTCATAGTCTATTTTGAAGCCCTCAGAGAGGACTACCCATCCAATAGGTACCTGGCCTTTCAAAGAATCAGGTGCGCCAACTATAGCCAGATCATGCAGGATTCCATCTGAGGCAGACCATGCTACTTTTTCGAGCTCTTCGAGTCCCAACCGGACACCCATCACATTTATGACCTCGTCACGGCGCCCGTGGAATGTGAAAGCGCCGTCAGCCTCGCGCGCAGCGTCTCCCTGCACAAATCCAAAACCATCCCCAGATGCACGAGGGGGAAAATAGGCCGCCTCGAAGCGTGCAAGATCACCACGCCAGTGGGGCTTGCCATACGCTGCCGTGTCTCCGAAGACGGTTCTGGCGAGGCCTGCGTATGGTGCATCAAGGACAATATCACCCAGCTCATCATCATCAAGCTGCAGCAGCGAGGCCCGCACCCAAGGCACTGGCCAACATCTGGTATCGGGCTGAAAGTTTCCACTCGGATCACGGCTCAAAACAATGGATCCGTGCTCGGTGGCCCAGTATGAATTCAGAAACGTAGCGACTATTCGAGATGATGCCCATCCTTGCACCTCAGCTGACACAGGTTCTGCACAAAAGGTGCCCAATCGCAATGAAGTGTTCGGTAAGTCCAACGCCTCAACGGCCGCTCGTCGTACTTGGTTGCCCATGGCGTGGCGCACGAATGCTGAAGCACACTTGAGGATCGTCGCACGACGCGCCTTTGCGATACGTGCCCATCGTAGCCCGTCAGCACCAAGGGGCGAGCCCTCGACGAGCAGACTCTTACATCGTGCAAGTACGGGCCCATAGAGCATGTAACTTTGCCCAGTGATCCACGCAAATGTCGCCAGCGTCAGGAAGACGTCAGCGCCTGCGCGTGCATCAAAAACATATGACATTGAGCGTGCAACACAACTCCCATAGCCACCGTGCCCGTGTACGAGGCCTTTGGGTTTCCCCGTTGACCCTGACGTGAATACCACAATCAAGGCAACCGCATCTCCAACAGCCAGAGGACTCAAGTACTGCGGAGCAGAAGCTGCCCATGTCCGCGCATCGCCATGCGCTATCTCGTAGCGTTGCTTCGATCCGAAGAGACGAGTCGCACGTGAGGCCGCCATTTCATGGATCGGTCCACTCGGAGCATCCAGAGAAGCGACAACTAGTGCCGGTGCGAACTCCAGAAATCGATGTTTCAAGGATTCATCTGTGGCATCCAGCGCTGTACAAGTGTAACAGACAGCACTCCGAGCACAGGCATGGCATACGACGGCTTGCTCGAGCCCTGTTGCTGCGTGTGCGTACATTCGCATTGGAGATGCCAGGAGAGTACCGAGGCATACTTCCAGTTCGACACAGCACGTAAGCACTGCTCGCAGCAGCTCCGAACGAGTCAGTTGTTCTGAGGGCTGAGCCTCAACCTCCTCGCCTGCTTTCACCGCCTCGTATGCCACTTGTTCGCCATCACGTCCATCATGCGAGTCCAACGCAGGCACGTCCACCGCGCTGAATGCTATATTTGTTGTTGCCTCCGAAAACCATGTTACATACCTGAGTGACATACTTTCTGAAATGGTGATGAAGATCTAACCTCAAACACTGTTCCTTGCGGATGTGCTGACGTGTCGATGAGACGAGTCCAAGGCCTCCAACTCGCATCACGTGCGTCAGGGGCGGCGGAGTGAACTAGGCCGCTAGGAGCGACCCGCAAGCAGCGCCACTTGGTACCTCTCAGTTGGCACCAGGTACCATCTTCACACGCCCAATATAACGCGGACGCGTACGCCACCGACTCCACATCGTCATCTTTCATGGGCGTGATACGCAACGCCCAGCGAATGCGCTATAGCAGTGTTTATTTCGGCACATGTTGGGAGCGACTGCGAATCGGACTAATACGGCTGTAGCTCCTTAGATCTATTCTCGTGTGTCCTCCGTCCAAGAAATCTCTCACTGCCATTCTCCTCATCCAATACGTCTCCCCAAGCTTCTGAATACAGCTTGATTGCACCGCAACCCTGGCTCTCGAGCCACTCGCTAACGCCTGCTAAGGTCATGTGCACTGGACTCTCTGGATACATTGGTCTGCAGTGCCCCTGGTCTAACAGAAGATAGTGCACCTGCGACTCCTCAGTCACTTCACCGACATGGACTATGTCCAGCTGAACCGGAAACCTGGCCGACATAGCGTGCTCTTTGACGCTACTATGGGCTTTTGCCAGGGGTGCCTTTCTTGGCAGCATGATGTCGGACCTGTCCGCTGGACCTGTCTGGTATGCCGAATTTTACGAAGGGGGCTGGACCAATTTTGGTGCCCAGCGATGGCCGGGAACGCGGGTGTGGCAGGGTTTCCGCCTTCAATAGAGCTTCAATATCTACCTTTAGCTGTTCCTCTAACTTGCACTAGAGAAAACTCTCCATGGAGATTCCATCATCGGCCGCTGAAATGCCCGTGCAGAGAGACCGTCTCTAGTCCCCTTTACGCTGGGATTTGCTCAAAGTTCATGCATCATTCCAGACCAGGGTATCCACTTCAAGTTACGGCCCGTTGATACCAAAAAGCCTGTGCCCTAGTTAATACTATTCTTGAAGACGATGGACCAATAAGAAACCAGCGTTCGACGCCTG